CGAATTTAAAAACGAGCTAGTTATATGCCTTAACTCGTTTTGAGAGTTAACTTGCCCAAACCCGCTTGACTCATATCACCTGCTTCGCCCGCGCAACCCGTTTCACTTGTTGGACAAAATTTGTCGTCGCTATATTTCTTCGAGTGTGCGTTCCTTTCCTCCATCAACCTCATTGACAAGCAGTGTAAGCTCTATGGGATCGATTTCGTAGCAATCAGGCTTGTGAACGCACTTTGCTTCTTCGCCTTCGTTAACTGCTCATTCATAGCAAAAACCGATCAACACCGTTTCGTGAAGCTAATCTAGTGGTGAGAAATGCGGGTACTAGACTAGAAAGTTATCTTTGGTTGTAAAACCTCTATCGCCGATCAACACCATTCCATGAAGCCGATCCAATTGTGAGAAACTCTCTTGTGAACCTTTGTCCTTCTTCCTCTGATTTTTTTTGGTTCCTCCATTCCAACTAGGCTTTTGTGACCCTTTGGTGGTGATGATGATGATGAATGCCGAGGTTGAAGTAGATCTCAAAATTGAAACTTGAAAGAGAATCGGGACCAGAGAAGGAAGCCTAGAGGAAAAATCAAGGAAATTTTTTTTTTTAAAAAAAAAGGTCAAGAAATCGAGGAAAGGAGATCTGAAAGAAGTTCAGCAAAGATGATGGTGAGATGGAAGTTTTTGGGGTTGGGAGAGGTTGACGGTTGGAGAAGAAAGTAAAATCTAATAAATATGTAAAAAAAAAAGTGTTTTTTAATTGATCGGTTGGATCAATTTAGCCAATTGAACCAGACCTGGTGGCCAAAGTGGGTCAACCACCAAGCTAGGCCCAAAAACATTGTGCTAAAATGTATTCAATATACATTTGATAATATGTTTGGTTTGTGGGGAGAGGAAGGGAGGAGAGGGAAAAGGAGGTGTGAGTTTTTTCATTCAATCTAATTATAATGTTTTAAAATATTATAATTTAATTAATCTAAAATTCTATTCCTTCTCACCCCCCATTTCTCTCCCCTTTCCCATTTTCCTAAAATAAAAACATATTATTAGTTATCAAATCATATAAAAAATTAATAAAATTGATATTAGTTTTAACATCAATATTGCTATCATATGTATTAATTTAACAAATAATAATTAAAATTAAAGTCAAGTTTTTTTAAATGTAACTTTAATTACAAAAAAATATATTAAATACATTCTTAATATGTATTCTTAAAATAACTAATCAGTTTATTTTACTCAAAAAGAATCACCGAGGACTCAATTACTAAAACCATAAAAGTTCAGGCTAACCTCTTCTGTTTTTCCCAAACACAGTGAAGCAGAACAGGAACACAGTGACAGAACAGGAAGAGAGTTATAATAAACAAGAGAGGTGAAGTGAAGCTCGAAAGTAGTTGTCATCAACAAAAGTGAGAAAAAAAGAAAGAAAATCCCTCTTTCTTTTCATTTGTCCCCAGCAACCGAACGCCAACGGACACAGACAAAGTCGGAGGTATCCCTCGTCAACACCGCCATGTTTTCTACGAAATCTTCCCACCCATATTTTAAAATTATCATTTTCACTTGTTTTGGAATTCTGTTTTCAGGACAGTTCACCTAATTCGGATTCCCATACAAAGGAAGAGAACCGGGGAGGAAGACAACGTGAGCACGCAAGGGGAAGGAGAAAAGGGGGAGGTGAACGGAAATGGGAAATTCATTTGGGTGCTCGGCTTCTGGGGAGAGGTTGGTATCGGCGGCCAGAGATGGGGATTTTGTGGAGGCCAAGATGCTTCTTGATTGCAATCCTTGTCTCGCTAAGTACTCCACTTTTGGTGGGCTGAATTCTCCTCTCCATTTTGCTGCTGCTAAAGGCCACAATGAGGTTTTCTTTCATTTTGAATTGTCACCCTTTTAAAATTTTTCCATTCTGGGTGGAATGTGTTCTTTATTTTGGATTTTTTGATTTCTGTTTCTAATTCTTCTCTTTGGGTTTTTGTTAGATTGTTGCTTTGTTGCTGGAAAATGGAGCTGATGTTAATTCGAGGAATTACTGTGGTCAGGTAAACGATTTGATGATTTTCTCATCTGGGTTTTCTTTCAGTGCTAGTTGTTTGTTACTGGAGCATGCATTTCTGGAAGAATTGTTAAGCTTGAGGAGATTCCCATATTAAGTTTAGCTCTTCTTATAAGTTTCCTCTATAGATGTTACCTGTTTTTGAAGTGTGTCTGTTTGCATGGGATTGTTAGAAAGAGTCTTGTGTTTTGCTGACCTAGTAAAGAATTAATCAGCGTGATTTGGTTTGCTGACCCAGAACTTCCTTTTAATAGGAAACATGTTTGTGGATATGCATTCTGACTTTATAATCATTCTTTATGTTTGTCTTTGAAAGACGGCTTTGATGCAAGCATGCAGATATGGTCATTGGGAAGTCGTACAGACCCTTCTGCTCTTCAGATGCAATGTAAGTTAAGTTGCCCCTTGTGTTTTTGATAATTGAGAATATATTAATTGATATATTAACGATGATGGAGTTGGATCATGAGAGCATTTTATTTAAAAATGCCATTTCTTATGCTTGTTATGCCTAAGGTAATCTTTTTAGGTATAAGTTGGTTGACATGGTTTATTTAGTTTCTTATAGGTTACAAGGGCGGATTATCTAAGTGGGAGAACAGCTCTACATTTTTCTGCTGTACATGGACATGTAAGATGCTTGCGACTAGTTGTTGCTGATTTTGTCCCTAGTGCTCCTTTTGAAGTTATGAATACCCAAATTGAAGGTGACAGGGGGGGTGGTTTAAGTGTGAGGAGTAAAATTGGCCAGAGGTGTGTGGCTTACTTTGCTTGTTGTGAATTATTGCTTTCTTGATTAACTCTTGCCTTATTTTGATGTCAATTGACGTTAGAATTTTAAGTCTATGATGGTGTGCATTATTCTGTCATATCTTATAATAGCAAATCAGAAATTGTGATTCAACCGAAAAGTTTGTTCAAGATGTGTAAATAATCGTGTAACTTTTTACTCTGCAGTGCACTGTCAAAGTTTGTAAATAAAGCGGCTGATGGTGGGATTACTGCTCTTCATATGGCCGCACTAAATGGGTACTTTGACTGTGTACAGCTTTTACTAGATCTTCATGCAAACGTATCTGCTATCACATTTCATTATGGAACATCAATGGATTTGATAGGTGAAATTTTGGCTGATATTATTTCTTTTGAGGTAATTAATTTATGATTTTTATTTCTAGATGATATAGATATATTCCATCTGCAGGAGCTGGAAGTACCCCTTTACACTACGCTGCTTGTGGGGGAAATTTGAAATGCTGTCAGGCAAGATATGTATTAAGTATTTTCAGACTCATCTGCCATCTCTCTTGAACTAGGCATAATGTTAAATCTTGTTTCTGCAGATTCTTATTGCAAGAGGGGCCAGTCGAACGGCTTTGAACTGCAATGGGTAAACTGCCTGCGGACCTTCTTTCATCTTTTGCTGTTGCTTTAGCTAATATTTGAGTTCTATATATGTCACATCTAATGAAACTATTTATTTCTTCAGGTGGCTGCCACTTGATGTTGCAAGAATATGGGGCCGTCATTGGCTTGAGCCTCTACTAGCACCCAATTCTGCAGTGGCTGTACCAAGATTTCCTCCCTCCAATTGCTTGTCCTTGCCTCTTTTGAGTGTACTTAACATAGCAAGGTAATCTTGTAACTAAATTATTATTTATCTGTAGGTCAGATAGGGTTGAGAATTTTTCCTAGCATTTAATAACTGCTGAACATCAATATAAATTATAATACTGCTTTTGCATTGTGTTTCTTTAAAAGAATACAAAGTATCAACGTTTTAATGTGAAAAACTTCTAAATATAAGAAACCTTTCAATACATCAATGCCATTGGGAGGATCAGTGAACTTCGCTCTCTAGTTGTTCCTAGTAGCTGTTGGTATTAGTTCCCACCCAGAGACACTATTCTGTAACCTGCTCAATGCAGCACCAGGGGATAAACATATGAAGGTTGAGAAAAATGGAGAGTAAGAAGGGAGAGAAATGGTTTGAAGTTTATCTCTGTTTTGTGAGTTGAAGTGAAAACCCACAAACTTTCAGTTTTGGATTATAATTCTGTTCTTTTATTATGGAGCTACGGAGACATAATCCTTTTCTTTATTCTGTCCCATAGTTCTTTGTGGTTGTTTTTTCCCTTTTTTTTTTTTTTTTGTTCTTTGGTACATTGGAGAAGTTAGTTGCTTGGCAGCACAAGGGTTTGAACCCTTTACCTTGACCCCAAATCAAGGTTTTAAGGTTAATGGGTACCAATTCAGCCAAGCTTTTGTTGGTATAGTTCTTTGTGGTTGATGGGTACTAGAATTTGTATACTTTAAGTTATTGCTGTACATCTTAAATGATGCATTTATTCAATATTTTCTGCAGAGAGTCTGGGTTGCAGTCATCAACAACCTCCTCCTGTGATGATGGTGATGCTTGTGCTGTCTGCCTTGAAATAGCATGCAGTGTTGCTGCTGAGGGTATTGTGGATATTTTATTATTTCTTTGATGATTTTAGAATCCTTTCCATGGTGTTTTGAAGTTCAACACCCTTGTTTTCTGGCTGGTATTCATATTCTAAAAGACTAGGTTAGGGATAAAACAAATAAATTTAATGGGATGTTGTAGAAAAACTTAAAAATTTTAAGGTTGTCATCAAGTTAAGAGCAATCATAAAAACCATGGTGTAAAACCTAGTTCGTCTGATTGTTTAGCTTTGCCAAATTAAAGCTGTCAACATTCGTAGTAGGCTGCACCAAATGAAATTGTGATAATCAATTAAGATCCAGGAGTTTGCATAGGTTTATTGGATGACCATGTCTTTACTGTTACCTTGCTTCTTCCTGTTCTTGGCTTTCATTGTTACTAATTCCCTTTCGGATCTCCCCAATTCCCCATAGAAAGTCAGTCATTTGCGTGCTTGGTGAATAACCTCTTTGCAACTTGTCCTGTGTTTCCCTCTCTCTGAAGTTTTAAGTAACAGGCGGTTTAGTTTAGATTCACCATAGAATGAATAAAAGCTTTGCAATATTTTTTTATCATTATTAATTTATTAATGCTCTGGTCGTACCTGTGCAAAACTTTAAGACATCCTTATGTTTGTTTTGCACTTCCAGGGTGTGGACATGCACTTTGCGTGAGGTGTGCGCTCTACCTGTGCTCAACAAGCAACATCCCTTCTGAAATGGTTGGGCCACCAGGTTCCATTCCATGCCCTCTTTGTAGACATGGCATTCTCTCCTTTGTCAAGTTACCAAGTTCCCCAGCCAAAGAAATTAGGCTACATCTTTCTCTTGGCCTCTGTACTCCATGCATGCTTCACCCTCATGATGCGGACTGCCAATCACCAGCTTGTGCTCCAGAGATTAGAAAGAATTGTGTTGCATCAGTCTCTTCAGATCGTTTCTGCCCAGTGACCTGCAGTCCATTTCCTTCTGTTGCCTTACCTTTATGCACATGTAATGACGGTCCTTGCCCAACCTTCGAACCCCGAGAAGCAGAAACACAAGATGAATCTTCTAGACAATCACAGGCTACCTCAGTCGAGCAGGATAAAATCGAAGGCCCTAGACTGGAGAGAACAACATGTTCAAGCATGTTTTGGGGCAGAAGGAGCTGCAGCAGAGAGCATCAATGCAATTCCGAAATAAATGCTTGATTGGTTCTTTCCACAGCTTCTAGATTGAAATTGTCATGTATGATGTTCCAGCCTCAGCCCGGGATCCTTCTGTTAATCCAACCACTCTCAACCATGAAAAACATCTGCTCCATGTGCTCTCTCTCGTCCTGCAGGCAACATGGTGATGACTCTCAGCCTTCAATCAATAGCATTTCCCCTACCGTCTACATTTGCCTCAAGGGATACATTGAGGGTTTGTAAAGTTTGCATATTCAGGTCAGATAGCTAATAGATTGTAATTGAATGTCATTTAAAACAATTTTCCCCATTCACGGAAGAGACTTATTTTTTCCCTTTCCCTCAAAAAATTTTTTTTTTCCATTTTGTATGTTTGATAATTAGCTATATAAGTTGAGGTGGTCTTCCAACTCAATCAAAGGTTCGAAAAAACATTCAAACTGAAATTTCAAGCTCCTAATTACCCTATTCAACTCATTGAAAGCTGAAATAATTGGAAGCCACACATTCTTTTTCCCTTTTTAACGATTCTAAGTTGAATGGATGGTGCCACGATTTTGGTCTATATTCCGAATGGTGAACCATACAATAGACTATGGTAAAGAAGCATGTCACAAATATACATCCTACATGTAATCACATCAACATCAGAGCCTCCTTAAAGAAACCCCAAACAAACATAAAGATGGGACCCCACAAACCTAGTTCTAACAAAAAGCAGTAACTCCACCTTCAAATACATGACACAACACGTAGTACTTAAAACAGAGCTTCAACTCAATCCTAAATCGACATCCACCTGAGAAATTTACAATCTTTATAATATTATTTGATTAAGTAAATTATTTTCGTTCTTACTCTTTTATCTTCTTCTTGCGGCAGTCTCTCTTTGCGCATTGAAGTACACAGCGGCAACTGGCAACCCCAGTCCGTTCTCTTCCGAGAACCTCCTCGTGGTGAAGTGATCTCTTGAAGCCGGAGGCCTCACCGTCTGTCTTCCTCTTTGCTTGAACAGTATGAACACGTATCTGTGAATGCCCATCACCGGTTTTGGTGTCTCGTACCCAACAACCTCCTTTCCTGTTTTTAAGTTATTGAGAACAAAGAACATCTATAAAAAACAACAAAAAATTTTGAACCCACAAGTTTATAGTAGAATAATAAAAAGAAGACCATATTCAAATTATAGTTATGAAATCTTACCGAAGGACGCGTCTGTGGTACCGGGGATGTCAACGACCATCCTGCAATAATTAAGAAGCACTGAGTTACCATCGCCTACAAAATTCTGTTGCTTATTTAAGAAAACGTAGAATAGAGAATTGTATAGATGGGTGTGTCGTTTTATGTTTTATTGTAAGTACCAGTGCAAATGTTCCTTCAAGTAAGGATCACTGGGGCTTGGAGCATCAGGGTCTGTCATAATCTTCAAGCAAGAAAATTTAGACTCATAATTAAGTTCAAACTGCAATAGCATAATGCGAAGGTTGATGCAATGATTTATGCTTACTAATGTATAAGCAGCTCTCATGTCATCTCCACCAATCTCAACCCGAGGTCTGGAGGCAATGACAGCAGGCATGAACTCATGGCCATTGGAGACCTGCTTGTTCGAGTAGTAAGTTACTGTCATTTTCACGGTCGGGTTGAAGATATCAACCACTTCTCCGATAACTCTACCGACCCTAAGAGTTTCGATAACCCTAGACATGATCCAACACAAACTACTATATACTTGGAAGAACGAGGTGTTTGTATTAGTGTTTGTTGTTTGGGAAGGTGGGAATGTGAGAGTTTTTATAGACACAAAGGGAATCTAAGTGACACATTTTATATGAATTGCTCAAAAATTTGGAAAATCTGGCTCTGCTTGCGGAAAGGACATGTGTGAACCTCTGAAACTAAGAAAAAAAGAGAAGAGACGCTAGAGACATCCTTCAAAAGAAGAAAAAAAAAAAAACGAAAAAGAAAAAGGAAAAGCCCTGTATAGAATATAACACGTCCTCGGATTATTGGGATATCATGCGAATGAAGAATATAACCCTTTTTTTCTTACTTTTTTATAATATCTTTGGACTTATCATCTTCCTGTCCAAATATATAAGATTCAAGACTGAAAACAGCAATACATGCTGCAATTATTTGCTTAGGAAGATTCCCAGCTATGCTATACAAGATGAGGAATCTTTGACAGCCAATGGAGACAAAAGGAATTCAATTGAGATAGCAACTAAATTGATGAAGGTATTGGTGTGGCCGGAAGAAGCCTATACAAAGTTGACACATAATTGGGAATGGAAGAAATAAAATGTGGTAAGAGAGGGCTTTAGAGATATAAGTTGAGGGGACAATATTCCTTGACTCACAAACTGATGAACTGTCGCTTCCTCCAAAAAATTGATAAGCATAAAACTACTTTGCTTTTTTTTTTTTTTTTGTTATACTACTTTTCAATCGTCTTCACACAGTTGGCATGCTTTCCTACACTTTTTTTCTTGTCAAATTTGCCCATCTGTGTTCTTCCTTTACGTCCATGAATCCCCTACTTTGTATGAACAAAAAAATCTCTAAAAAAAAAGTATCAACTTCTATACCAAATCAAAAAGATATATTTTAAGTGAGATTATAATTTTGCACTATGAATTTATTAAAGTACCTTTAATAATTTTTTTTTATTATATAGTGTGACTTAAAAAATATGAAACTTATAATAATTAAATATATATTAAAAATATTTTGAGTAAGAACCGAGCTTTTAGATTCAATGATTTGTCCCAAAATCTTAAGTGTTTAGGTGTAATTGGTCTGAAATTTTTGATTATCACCAATTACTTGAAAAAAAAAAAAAAAAAACTCCCCCAAATTCCCCCATGTTCAAAAAAAAATTATATATTTTTTGAGCAAGTGCTGGGATACCTTGGTCCCCAAAAAGGAATGCTCCTTCGCGTGGTTGCTTATACAAGGGAGAAGAATTCCATGTGTAGAGAATTTGAAAAAAGGGAATATAATTGAGCAAGATGATAACGCTAACTGTGGATTGTGTGGATCAACAAGGAAGAGGCTACAACCATCTAATGTTGAATTGAGAATTCTCTCATATATAATGTTTGGATGAAATGCTATCGGTGGTGGAATATCACATACGTTATGCATAATGATCGTAAAAAGGCTCTCAACCAGCATGGGGGACAACAAAATATAATAAAGGTTGGATGGTGGTATGGTTTGCAGTAGTATGGTCTCTATGGCTTGCAAGAAATTATGCTGTTTTCAAAGGAATCAGACCTGCGGTTGAGGATGTTTTTGATCTTGTCCGGAGTCGGTCTTATGTTTAGATTAGTGGAATGCAGGAGGGTTGGAATCATTCCTTGTCTGAATGGTGCCAAAATCCATGTGGATGTACCATCACAAAAAATTTGAAATTGCATCTACTAATAGTGGATTCTGTTTGGTTTTAATTAGAAGTATTGTTTGTAATTTGTAAAAGAACAAGAATACCCTTCTACTCTTTATAAATAAAATTTTTCATTAATTGCTAAAAGTTAATATATATTATATTATATTATATTATGCAATTGGAATAGCACAAAGCTAATTAAACTGTGGAGGAGGCTTCTGAATGTGACCACATCTGTGAAGGGGTTGGCGCTTCTAATAATCTCGATGTGTTATCAGTTTTGGCTGTTGCAACACTCACTTGCCTTGCTTTGGGAATTGGCGTGGACAAGTTCTAATATCATCAGTGTCATAATTGTCTGTTTGACTTTGAAGAGGTATTCAAAATTGGGGTGAGAGTAAATGATATTTCAGTATAGTTTCTGCCGTTTCTGTTTTGACTGCCGTTTCATAATTGGTTCTCACCCTTAGTGCATGTTTGGTTGGCTTCTTTTCTCAGTTCTTTATTCGGAAAAACTATTAGTCATAAAAAGTATGGTTTGTTTCAAGATTTTAAATTATAATTAGTTATAATTAGATATAATTAATTATGGATCCCAGAAAATAACTTTCCCATATTTTTTTTTAAAGAGAAAAGAATTCGATCTTTTTTAATCAATTATTTCAGTAAGTGATTATATTCATATCATGAATCAAGCCAACAGCAATTTTAGCTTGGCTTCTCCGGATAAAGAATCCAGGAAAGAGGCCAACCAAATAGCCCCTAGTTACGGTCTTACCCCTTACCAGGTGGGTGGTTTCTTCGACCCTTTCCACTAATCTTCTACGTGGAATGTTTTTCCCCCTCCTCTGGTAAAGCAAATAGCATGTTAAC